CCATCTAACCACCCATTTCGGCAAAGGTTTTAGAGCTCTAGATAGCTTTAAACTCTATTTCTCAATGTATGTGTGTTCTATGTTGAGCAGACCGCCAATATATTACGATCATATCCGTTTAAAGAATCCTAATAAATATGATTTATCGTTTCTCAAACTTCTTCAAAATTCCCTTTTTAAACTTTGTTCAAGAACAATGTTATGGAAAATGTTGAAAGTAATTTACACTTTTTATTGCTTTTTGATATTTACATTCTTGTAATTATGTTGGATCTTTTCTTTGTGGGGTATTATCATATCATATCTTATAGTATTGCTACTTTTCCTCCTCCCCCTCTTCACCCCCTTTTCCGATCCCCTTTCCTCTACGATGTCTTTACGTTACTTTATTTTCGCTTGTGTAGACAACTTTTGTTCCTTTAATAGTTCCTGTCAGACAATATTGACAACAAATGTTGTTATGTATTTAAAAGCATGCTGAGTATCATGCAAGTACATAGTTGTCATGCATTTAAAAGCATGCTGAGTATCATGCAAATATATAGTAGTCATGCATTTAAAAGCATGCTGAGTATCTTGCAAGTATATAGTAGTCATGCATTTTCATTTATCCGGTAGTATTTTGCAAATGCATTGTTGTCATGCAGTATGAAGCAAACACTATCTTATCATGCACTGTTATGCATGCTTAGTGTCATGCAAAAACTTTGTTGTCAAGCAATGTCAGGCATTTTGTCACACATTTGTATCATGCACTTTAACGGTCGATTTCTATGATGGACAAATTGGACATACACTGTTTTGTTTTTTCCCTGAGTTGTAATGATAAATTCTTTATCATGCAGTTTACATTCTGCATTAAAATAAAGTGCAATGACATACTCGATCTTGTGTTAGTATTCCGTATCTCTTAAAAATGTTTATTACAAGTCAATGCAAACATTTTTTTGAGCCAAATTTTAACATTTATGCTGAAGGTACGCATTTGGGGGTAAAAATGTCATGTCAATTACTGTGTCATTTTAGATTTTTTTTCCATTTAAATCTTGGACAACTTGCCTATACCTTTTTATTTTCCCCCTTAGTATATTATTTTTGTTTGAGGTATAAACTTGAATGCAGTTCCCTGGGTTTAAATAGGCTTACTTGTATTGCTTAGTATACCTTCAGAAAGCTGATTATTTACACATTGTTCTTTTTTCTTTGTGTTATAATCCTCTACATATTGTAATATATATATTGTAATATATGCTCGCATCTTGCAGATATTTCTATACTTTACACAATAAAGCCTTCTTTAGCAGGGAAATAATATGGCCCCGAATTAATATGAACCTGCCTCCCCCCCCCTTGCCATGTACATTCACACAGTACACAAATGTACACAAATTTTTCAAGGTTAGGTTAGGTTAAAATCTTAAAAGGAGTAGGGGGGGGGGGTCAGGGGATACTGTCTTAAAAGTTACCAAAAATAGGTCTTCATACAGTCTATAAATGCTTTTTTTCTGTATAATTTATCTCTAGCTGTTGCTCCAGGTTCTCAAGTTTGGCTAAGTTTGGTGAAAACATGTTTTTATGTCTTTCATAATTTTTGTTTTTAAGGTGGTGTTCGGTTTCCATATTTGTTTTCAGAGAAAGGAGAGTTTTCAAGAAAACATTTAAGATATTGAGTGGATTAGGAGGAAAAAGATTCAGAATAAGTTTTATTAGTGCCCTACAGGAATCACAACGTTTAGACGAAACTTTGGTGGCATTGGAAATGATTTGATGACTCGTTTTAATTTTTTACAATTTGTTTTCAGTAAAAAAGGGAAGATCTTATTTTTCTGACAGGTAAACTATTTTGGTTAAAATGTTGTCGTTTTCAACAGTTGAAACCATTTTTTAATGCATGACCACCAAGAACTTTGTCAACAGTCTCTTTACAGTTATACTCATTATTCTATTAATGTGTTAGTATTAAGATTATTAGTCGGATTTCAAAATATTATTTTAAACTTTCATTAATTTCAAATTAAGTTTTGAAGAGCAATTAAATTATAAGTTCCTCCCTTTGAAATAATTAATGTGAAAATGCATTTCAATTAATTAATTTTAGTCTACAGAAATAACTTTGTTACTTGAGATTAAAGGATTCATTGAGTTATAAGGAAAAGAGTAAAATTAGAAATACAATTTTCTCCTTGTCGAAGGATCATTAATAAATTCAAGATTTATTTTTATTTTGAAGATGGCAATACCCGATTCACAACAGTAACCTTAAAATCTTTGTTTGATCAAGCAAGAATGATTGCTATCAATGCATACAATTTTTAAAACTGATTAATTTCAATTGTGGGTTCTCTACTGCGGGAAAACATATAGAAATTATCAGAATATAAACATTTTTTATCAGATAAAGGTTTCAAGTTGTAAATTGACATCTTTGCTTGGAGGGTCACTTGAAATTACAAATACAACCCCTTTTAAAAATATAAATAATATTGGGGAATGTATATAAGCTTAGTTAAACGAATTAAACATGGCATGATCTAGCGAACCAAGGGAGAAAAATATAAATAAAATTGGGGAATGTATATAAGTTTAGTTAAACGAATTAAACATGGCATGATCTAGCGAACCAAGGTAGAAAAAGAAATAACATTTCTGATTTGCTGGAAAAGGTACGACTCATCCTGTGTACCAGTTTCACTGCCAATTTCAGGATATAAACCCTTCTCATCCCTTACTTAATACTAGTAAAAGACCAATTTATATATGATGTATCTACAATGAACAAGATGTATGAAATACATAATGAATTCATTATTGCTTGAAAATACGGATATCTGTATTTTATGTCGCTTGTCGAGGTGTTTTTGTTTGTCAGTTTTTTTAAATTCATATACGTCGTGTTTGATTCTATATGATTACTATATTATTTCAGTTTTTTTTGTTATTGTGTATGTCTAAATATTGTAGTGTATGTCCGGGTGTTTGAGTGTATGTATGCCTGAATCTGTCTGATTTCATTTTGAGTGTTTCGGTGTATGTTTGTCTGTCTGAGTGTATGTATATGTAAAGATAAATATTTATTCTGTGAAGAAGAATATTAGAATATTATTGCAGCAGACTCGTAAATGTTTATTAGAGCAGTCACCTAGATCTAGCTACCTAGCTATTTAGCTACTTAGTTACTTAGTTACTTAGATACTTAACTAACTTAGCTACATAGCTTCCTATATACTTAACTACCTAGCTACCTGAACACAGAAGCTTAACCGATTATGTCCAATTTTTTGTGGTATCTTACGGGAAAGGTTTATGGGTGGTCAAAAATGAAGAATTCTGCCTAGGAAAAAGTGTCGAGTAGTTAATTTTTGTTTTGTGCAGTGTGCAGAACAGGAAAATCGGAACATTTTTATTTTCTTAATATTCAAAGAAAAAATAGGGGTTAGGAACGGCAAGAGCTTAAATTATTACTAAAAATGGGTCGCGAAGCGTTCTAAAAGCCAATTATTCTATATTTATGTATATATATATATTCCTTGAAGTTGGAGGACCTAATTTAAATAATAAAATAATCAAGTAATAAAATAATGTTTATTGGGTTACTGGACTAGAGTACAGCTGGTTCAGTGCTGAATACATAATATTATAGATACAAACAAATATGTATTCAATGAAAAAGAATATTTTTGTCACCCTGACTAATTATTTGTACAAATGTATGTGTAGGGGGTACATCATTTGTTTTTTTTCTCGTAATTACCTTTTCATACCTCTTATTTAATCTTATTCATTACTTAAATTTTGTAAACTGAGGAACTATTTATCCAAGGTATAGTCTACATACTTTGTATTTATCTATATATTTATAGAACTAAAATCTATCTATCTATCTATCTATCTATCTATCTATCTATCTATCTATCTATCTATCTATCTGAATGAAGAACCATCTATCTTGATGTCCAGCAGTTTTGTCTTCTTGTCTCTGTAAGACTGATCTCTACTCTCTAGTTTATACATTAACAAATTGATATCATCTGCACTCTTACAGTTTACAATACATAGGGTTGAATTCATATTTATCTATCTATCTATCTATCTATCTATCTATAAGTATAATTATAAAGGTATATTTGTTGTTGTTTTCTAAATTCTTTCTGTTTTCTACAAATCCAAATCTCGTTAATTAACCGATGTTTTGACGAGCCACCTCCCCCCTCCCTCCTTCTATCCACACCTTAGGTACTAGAGCACCCTGGGGCAATGACCCCCCCCCCCCTATATTCCAATCAGGATTTCGACCTGTCAACGTTTCTTTAGAACACCCATCAGAGTAAAAACAGTTGGAGAGATATTACATTTTAATCATGTGTCAGAACTGTGCACATTTCAGTGTATAGCTATAATATGACGAGGGGGGGGGGAGTGACCTCAGATTGGGAAAAAGTCATTTCTCAGCTGAACAGCTAAGATTAGTATGAAGCAAAAAGCGTGTCGTATCAAGCATTTCTAGAAATTAAACTCATTTTTCATCATCAGTATTTTGTCTACATGTGTTTTCTAATCAGAAATTGTATTTATTTTATTTATTCATGTGTTTCTATTTATCTATCTATTAGAGGCGTAGTCAGGGGGGGGGGGGGGGCACCTCTATGGAGACAAAGCCCCCCCCCCCCCCTGGACTAGTGAAATCTATGGATTTCAGGGAGTTTTCAGGCCCCAACGGGTGCTGAGGAGCCCCCTTTAAATAATGGAAGCTCCCCCCCTGGACCAATTCCTGACTATGCCCCTGCTATATGTATCTATCTATCTATTTAGCTATTATCTATTTGTTTAAATGCATTCTTCTATACCAAATAATATTTTAGCTTTCTGATCAACCTTTGATGTAACCCAAAAACCACTTTTTCAAAAAAATTCACTAATAACAAATGTTATAAATGTTGAGATGCAGCGACGGATAGTTTCTAAAAACATAAAATGTTCTAATTTAAGATGTTTGTTTTCAGGTGTGTGGTTGAGGGTGTGTGTGTGTCATGAACCGCTACGCCCCTGTAAGAACCAACATGGACAACGAGGACAACTATAACAGGGACGGAGCAAACTCTAACCATACAAAGTAAGGGTTGACGAGTTTAAGGGCAAAGACGATCTTTTTGATCTAAATGGTTGGATTCGTCCTCCTACACAGTACGCAGGGTGTCTCAGTAATGGGATTGGGAATTTATATTAAAAAAAGTCAAAATGTTAAATTTTGCCAAATTTAAAAAAAAATGATATATAAAGTTTGATCTCCTGCCCTAGTCCGTATGACCACCATGAGCTAGAAACTGACGCACACTATGAGGCACCTTCTTGTCTTAAACGCAACCCATCAGGTAAAATCAATCAATCAATTAATATGATATTATTAATGATCAGTCAATCAATCAATCAATCGACAAATGATTAAAAATCACACAGTAAATTGTTTATTCATAAAGATTCAATCAATCAATCGTTTCTAGTGTATAGTGACCTATTGTTTCGAGATAATTATTTTGATTAATAATTATTATTCAATTATATAATTAAACAACTTTCAAAACCGATCAGAACGGAGTGCGATAATGACAATCAATTAGAGCAATTAAATCATTAATTCAGCTTTTCACCATTCCTGTTCATCTAGATGTATGAGTGAATACATATTGTTTATATGGTTTTTCTTGTATTCTTCGAGGATTAATTGAACAATTACTGAAAAAATAATTATTTTTCTTGTCAACATGATCATAAATTCTACATTCTATCTTTTTATTTATTACTTTTTTTGTTTGAGAAAACTAATAAACTTTTATAGTACTAAATAATAAATTTGTATGCACACTATACAAGAGAATTGATTTGGAAAGTTTCATATTATAATTTATATTGAGTACAAAAGGCTGGTGCTATTGAACTAATAGCTGTAATTTAGTTAATTACTATCGTTATGTATACATAAACATATTATATATTTGATCTTTTTACATCGGAATTTTATTCACACGAAACAATTCACAAAAAGTGGTACAGTGTGTTCTGTGTGAAATGTTCAATTCTAAAACTTTTAATGCACGGTTTGCTTTTTTAAAGATGATTTTTATAAATGAGATAATTAAAAAAACAGTGCAGGGATATGATTATCTTTTAGGTATTTTACCCATGAAGTTAAAAAAAATTTAACGAAAATTTTTAATGTGGGGTGTTGGAAATACTTACTTTTGATAAAACATTTAAACTTGACGTATAGGTTTATATTTTTAGAACTTTATAAAAGAGCATAATGATGTTCTTTTTCCGCCAATATATCTAACAAGTACATACATACATATATATTTATATAAGTGTAATTATAGTTAACTAGACACCTAGTTGGTAGAATAGACAGGTTTCCTATAGGGTTCTATACAGTTACCTACAAACCTGTCTTGTTAAATACTTACTCAATATTCTTCAGTAAATACTCGTTTCTTACCCTTTCCCAACTCTTTTATTACCCCCCCTTCCTCCCCCANCCTCTTAACACTTTTCCTAAATCGCAACCCTCACTCACATGTCATTACCAGTTTTTGAATTATGCTATCCCTCACTCGTTTCCTTGTATTTTATTGTTTTTACAATCATGCTTTTCTTCCCTCGTTTCTCTGTATTCTCTTGTTTTTACAATTGTGCTTTCCCTCCCTCGTATTCCTGTATTATCTAATTTTTACAATGTTTGGTTTTCTTTGCTCTTTGCTCTGCATTCTCTAGTTTTTACAATGTATGCTTTCCCTCCTTCGTGTTCCTATCTTCTCTGGTTGTACAATTTTTGCTTACACCCCCTCGTTCCATGTATTCTCTAGTTGTACAATGTTTGCTTTCATCCCCTCGTTCCCTGTATTCTCTGGTTGTACAATTTTTGCTTTCACCCCCTCGTTCCCTGTTTTCTCTTGTTTTTACAATCATGCTTTCCCTCCCTCGTTTCCCTGTATCCTCTAGTTGTACAATTTTTGCTTTCACCCCCTCGTTCCCTGTTTTCTCTTGTTTTTACAATCATGCTTTCCCTCCCTCGTTTCCCTGTATTCTCTAGTTGTACAATTTTTGCTTTCACCCCCTCGTTCCCTGTTTTCTCTTGTTTTTACAATCATGCTTTCCCTCCCTCGTTTCCCTGTATTGTCTAGTTGTACTATGCACACCCTTCCTCGTTTCTCTGTATTCTCCAGTTTTTACAATCATTCTTTCCCACCCTCGTTTCCCTGTATTCTCTTGTTTTTACAATCATGCTTTCCCTCCCTCGTTTCCCTGTATTCTCCAGTTTTAACAATCATTCTTTCCCACCCTCGTTTCCCTGTATTCTCTTGTTTTTACAATCATGCTTTCCCTCCCTTGTTTCCCTGTATTCTCTAGATTTACAATGTTTGCTTTCCCTCCCTCGTTTCCCTGTATTCTCTAGTTTTACAATGTTTGCTTTCACTTCCTCGTTCCCTGTATTCTTTTGTTTTTACAATTGCCTGAAAATCAAGTTATGTTGTGTCCGATATATCGGCTTAGCTACTGCCTGAAGGCTTACCGGTTCTTTTTCATGCACATTTTCTTTAGAAATATGTTATAGAGGGAAAAGTTTATGGGGGAGGAGGGTAAACCCATTAAGATGTGAAAAGTTGGGCGGCTTTACTGCAAATGGATTTTGAATAAAAAACTATTTAAATTAAAAAATTTTAATATGAATTTCTCTGAGGAGTGAAATAATAAGTATGAATTATAGATCTGTCCGTTGTGAATATATAGGTCTTAATAATATTTCTTTAACTGAAAAGTTTTCATATTTATAATCATTATTTTAAATTAAAGTTTTACATCGAAACTTTGTCTAAAGATGGAAGATAAACTGCTACTTTATTCCAACTACATGACATTTCGTGCAAGCTAATCTCTTCGTTTTACTTCACGAGTTGCAACTGTGCAAACTTACTTTACATACATCATACATGCAGACTGTATAATCTTTAAATTATTCTATGGATCTTGATCTTCGTTCCAGTGCAGTGCAGTGCTGGTTAGGGATAAATTTATTTTTACAGTCGGCAACATTTGACCAATATTATAAATATAAAAAAATCTATAATTTTTCCCTTTTCAGTGTTTATCCGTTCCCTTCAAAAGTTAGGGTTGGTAAATTCTTGGTCGAGGTTTGGGTTTGAGTTGTATTTATCTATATTTTGAACCAGGTTGACATGGGTTCTGCCGATATTGGAAAACGGATTTATAAAATAGATTTTCTTTTTCTCAAAATATCATGTTTTCACCGAAAATCCATTCTTTCCGTCATTTGTCACTGAAAACTATCATTTAGAGCATTTTTAACATTGGTAAATCCAAGTTATGTAAATAAACTATTGTTTTATAATTTATTTTTAACATTGGTAAATCCAAGTAATGTAAATAAACTATTGTTTTATAATTTATTTCCCTAATAAAATGAATATATCAATATTGTTTATTTTATAAAATATTGATAAAAGAATATTATTCATGTTATTAAAATATTTATTAATATTTTTGAAACTTAATCTCTAATATTTACCAAAATATGAAATCAAGATAAATATAAATATTTATTTTTTCCACTAATTTTAGGATCTCTGTTTATACCGTCGGGGTTAGCGGATAGTCCTCCTAGCGAATCCACTTTGCCGCTAGAATCCAGGATCAAACATTCCGCTTATTCTCCTCACCATACACTCAGGTACACCGCGAGCACAGCGAGTCAAAATTTATTTAAAACTAAGTGCGAGCTAAGCGAGATGCTAAAATGGATGCAGGTCCTGGCAAAGTATATTTATATATTATTAGTTAAACCCATTTATCTACATTTGTCCCATTGTATTATTGTATTGGCTCTAACCCTCATCATTACATAATCAGTCTTATTCTATACACCTAGCAGACAGGTAGATACATTCAGACATAACAGAAGCACATACGTTCTCATAAAAGACATACAGACATACGATCGGATAAAATTCGGATATACATACACATTACACACAGATGATAAAAGTTGTTTTTTGCACAACTTAATCCTTCACAATTAGAGCCGAATATTTTTGAAATCTCAAATCATAAAGAGATTAAATAATGGGTTTAACTTATACCGGTTGCTTCAAAGTTGATTTTGTTTGATTTTAATTCTTGTAAAATTTTCATTTTTGTATACGGAGAGTAGAATCAGCTGAAAACATTTATTTTGGCTCTATTTTGAGTATAACAGATTTAGCATGACGTGAGAAACCTGTCTGATTGTATATTGATTCTCAGTTGAACAGAAATCAAGTGAAACAAATTCTTTTTACAATCACAGTACACGCAGCATCAAAGTATATATGTTTGCTCTGTAAATTCTAATCCTCTGTGGACCAAAGAAACGTTTGCTCTGTAAATTCTAATCCTCTGTGAACAAAAGAAACGTTTGCTCTGTAAATACTAATCCTCTGGACCACTAAAATGTTTTCTCTGTAAATGCTAATCCTCTGTGGACCAATGAAAGGTTTATTCTCTTATCTACTGTACCACTCAACAGTAACAAACACAATCCATACTCTCACAGAAAATACAGTCTAAATAAACTGTAAACACCCACCTTCCAACCCACATTGGGGAAATTATAAAACAATTTAAGTTTTTAAAAAAATTCTAAAAAATTCTGCCATAAAATCGTAATTTAGTTGTAAAAAATGTTAAAAGAAATCATATTTTTATGTTTTGATAAATCTCATGTTTCTTTTATTTTAGAGCATACAGTCCACACGAGACAACAAGTTCAAGGCTTGAAAACCTCTACACAAACTCATCGTAAGTTAGGGAAGGGGAGGGGAAGAAATGGGAAGAAATGGGAAGAAATGGAAATAAATGGGAAGAAATGGGAAGAAATGGGAAGAAATGGGAAGAAATGGGAAGAAATGGGAAGAAATGGGAAGAAATGGAAAGTAAAGAGAAGGAAATGAATGCAATGGAAAGCCATGGAACGGGAAAAAAGGAAACAAATGCAATGTGAAGGAAAGTAATAAAACTAGAACAAAGATGGGAAGCAGAGGGTTAGAAATTGGTTGAAAGAAATGGATGGGGAAAGGATAACGGGACGACGAAAAAATAAGAACATTTTGGTATTTTTGTTCGATCATACATTTCAGTGTTTGGGTCTAAAAATCTAAAAAAATCGCGTTGAAACTCTAATGCTGTTTGCGGATATGTTGTGGATATTCTGGAAAAGTTGTTTCCAAAATAAATGTGGTTTGAGTAGATGAATATCTAAGCTACCTGTTATGCCCATATAAAGGAAGGGTTAACGTGTTATTTATCTATTATGTATCCTACACTTATCTATCTTATCTATTCGCACTATCTCGCAGGGTTCCTATCCTTATCTAACAATTCCTTAGTTAGCTAACTAACTAGCTATACCTTTGATAGTTAACCATATAGCTGTTACTTGGTTAGCTAACTATCTATCTGTTACTTGTTAGCTAACTATCTCACTATTCTTTGATTAGCTAACTCAATCACTATTCCTTGATTAGCTAAATAGCTAACAATATCACTATTCCTTGGTTATTGATAACTATCTAGCTGTTACTTGGTTAGCTAAATATATAACTATTCCTTGGTTAGCTAACTAACTAGCTGTACTTGGTTATTTAACTATATAGCTGTTGCTTGGTTAGCTAACTATATAGCTGTTACTTGGTTAGCTAACTATATAGCGGTTACTTGGTTAGCTAACTATATAGCTGTTACTTGGTTAGCTAACTATCTAGTTTTTACTTGGTTAGCTAACTATCTAGCTGTTACTTGGTTAGCTAAATATCTAGGTGTTCCTTGGTTAGCTAACTATCTAGCTGTTACTTGGTTAGCTAACTATCTAGCTGTTACTTGGTTAGCTAACTATCTAGCTGTTACTTGGTTAGCTAACTATCTAGCTGGTACTTGGTTAGCTAACTATCTAGCTGGTACTTGGTTAGCTAACCCATTTTCATTCTTTAATTCATCATCTTTAAACAATCTTTCAAACATCCATTTTTTTTAAACCATATACGTTCCATTCAACCTTTTAAACGTCTTTCATTAATTATTTACACATCTATCCGATAACTTCATCCTCTCTTCATATTGCTGTGTTTTCCGTTTTTAATCCATTTTAACATTTTCTACCTTAGATAACCATCTTATCTATCTATCTTTCTATCCATCTATCTATTTTTCTATCTGCCTGTCCAACTATCTATCTAAATATTGAAACCATCTATTCCATCCTATCTATCAATCTACCTATCCATCTATCTATCTATCCATACTTTTGTATCTGTCTATCTATTAAAACCATCTATAAACTATTCCCCAGCCCTATCTATCTATCCTTTTATCTTTCTCTCTATTTGAATACCACAATAAAGTTACTTAATTCAATCTTGAACTACAGATAGATTTAGGGGGATATATAATCATCTATTCATCCATCCACACTTTTTAATAATCCATCCATTCACATTTTTATCATTTGATCCGTTTATCCATCCGGAATAAACCCGTCTACCTCTATATAGATCTCTTTACGGAGCATCTAACTAAACCATCTCAGTAATTGAACCAAGGAAATTTTAAGATCAGGAAATATCTGCTATGTCTTGGTTTAAAAATATAATGAAAAATATTTTCTCTTTTGAAGTTTCTTTTATTTCAATATATTTTGTCCAGGTCTGTTTACAATGTTGGTTCCCTGGGAACTCGGTTAGGGAACACACTACTGAGTAGGGGTGGAGTAGGAGGCGGAGCTAGTCCAGCCCGCTCACCTAACACCGAGAAATTTACAAATCTAGACACATCCAGGTATTGTAATCAGGGGGTAGGAGGTAGGAGGTAGGTTGTCCTTCCCTCCTACCTCCTTGTCCCGCCTAGCCCCTCCCTCCTTCCTACTTATCCCGCTAAGCCCCTCCCTCCTACCTCCTTATCCCGCCTAGCCCCTTCTTCCTTCCTACTTATCCCGCTAAGCCCCTCCCTCCTACCTCCTTATCCCACCTAGCCCCTCCCTGTTCCACCCTCTGGCTAGATTTTGAATACAATTAATCAATCATATGTTTTCCTTCCTAATCCTTCCCGTCCTCTCTCTCTACCCTTACACTTTACAACCATTACTCAACGTCTTTCATTTTCAAACCCTTCTCATTCTTTGTATTCTTTGTACCCTTTCAAGCCTCAACACCCCATTCTCTAGCTTTTTGAGAATATAAGAATATACCCGCATCTTTTTATAGTTTTGTTTCAGTCTTTTGGTTTTATCTCCATCCCTAGTCATGTAGTTGGGTTGTTATTAAAACTTTAATAGGTTTCGTATCCCCTGCTTTAGTCTAAAATAATGATCATGGTTTACCCGTATACTCACCCTGAAACCTTTCATTTCTTTTTTAACTATCAAACTTTCTAGATATAAAAGGTTTATTTTGAATTTCCCCCTCTGTTACAGAACACAATGGGGTATTCTTTTTATTCAAAACATGGGTGTTAACTTAAACACCTTCCTGCACAATAAACACTAGCCAGCCAATATCCCTCTATCCACCGGTACTGCCCCCTTTCGATAGCCTCCCCCCCCCCTCCCCACCTAAATTCCTTAATATCACCTGTCGAACCTTAAACAGCTTGTACACCAAGCTCTTCAAGTATCTTGTCATCCTCAATCCACACTCTTCTTTCCCCGTCCTATAATACTCCTTCCCTTCTTCTTTTCTTGAACCCTTTCTCCGTTCTATCCTTCTCCTTCTCTTCTTGTCTTGAACCATTTCCCCGACCTATCCTTCCCTTCTTCTTTTTTTGAACCCTTTACAGGTTTTAACCTTCTTTTCCACTTCTCATTTTCTGAATAACTCTTCTCCGTTCTATCTTAATCCTATCCTGTTTATTTCCTTAGATAACTCTTCTCTGTCCTATCCTAACCTACCCTTCTCATTTCCTGGATAACTCTTCTCCGTCCTATCCTAACCTATTCTTCTCATTTCCTTAAGAACTCTTCTCTTTCCTATTCTAATCTGAGAACTCGTCTCCTTCCTATCTTATCCTATCCTTCTCCTTTCCTATAACCATTTCCCCCTTCAGCCTTTTTGTTATGTTCTTTACCCTCCTTTTCATGTTGTCCATTCCTTCTCTATCCTGCCAAATATTTCCTATTCGGCCTGAAACCCCCCGTTGACTTTTACATTGAGAATTCAAATTTTTGCGGCGGAAAATTTATGGTTTTCCGATAAGCTTTTTGCATGAATAGAATATGTAAAGAAAATTAATTTTAAAGCTGAATGTGGGGGGGGGGGGGTAAGATATAAGTTCCAAATTTCAAGACGATATCAAAGTCATTAAACTAGGTGGGATCAAAAATGAAAATTCTGAAGTGTTTATTGGATGAATGGGTTTAAGTGTTTATGCTTCTACCCTCTCTTATCGTCTATCTCCATAAGGACCCTCCTATCTTACTTAACCCCCAAACCCTACCCCAAGCGTATGACCCATTTGTGATAAGATCATTCATTTATTGGATCTTGAAATCTGCACAACTGCAACAGTTAAAATATGAACAATAAAATTCTACAGTAAAATTCATTGATTTTTACTTTTTTTAAAGGTCTAATCATCTTCCTAACTATGGGTCCAGTGGTCATCTAACAGGTAACACATCTTATTTTTTAAACTGTTTTCCAACTTTTAACATTTACCCGATCTAATGTTGATTTAAGGCATGCTACTATATCGTATAATTTTATTTAACAAATAATTAATCTGTATTTATCAATTTAATATTTACTTTCTGAATATGATAATGCTTAAACAAACTAATTTTCGATAACACTAATTGCTGACAGCCAACCCGCATATCTTATTGATTTATTATCGATTTTTAATATAACAATGATTTGATCAATTCAAAGATTTCATGATTAAAAATTGTTCTTCAAAAATAAAATCCTTATCCATTTACTTTTTTATCTCACTTAACTTTTAAACTATCCTTCATTGTATTTTTGTCCTTATACTACCGTTTTTATGTAATTCTGTTTACCTTTTTTGGATTTCTTTATCCTTTTTTCATCTATTTTTGCTATATCTATATTTTTGCATCCATCTGAATGTTTATCTTTATCAACCTATTTGTTTGTTTCTATTATTGTATTGATTTACAAATAATATATGTTTTATGATAATCTTGTTTATTTTCAATATTGATCATCTATCTATCTATCTATCTATCTATCTATCTATCTATCTATCTCTATCTATCTATCTGTTTATCTATCTGATTATCTATCTGTTTATCTATTAATGTATCTTTTATCAATATTTATAGTTAAAATAAATAAGGCTCTTATCTTATATTAAATACACAAACAAAGGTCGAAAACGGGAAAGGGGGGCGGGGGGAGGGGTACTTAGGGCGTGTGATGGAGATTAGAAATATATATTAAATTATTAATGTCTTTCTACTTTTTTTTCAGTTGAGCTGCCTTTATGCCAGTTTTTGGCATTGTTTATTCAGCGAAGCTTTAAATACTATATCCTGATCCATCTATCTAGAAATACATTAATCTTTTATAAATAATAATTATATGAATAATTATTACAATTAAAGATCATTTTTCAAAGCTCACACTGGGTACAAATTGGGTACGGACAACGGAGTTTCATTTGGACAAAAATGACAAAAAAAGATTCTGTCGAGAGATTTTTGTCCTTCGGATTCTAAAAAGAATTTTGATTGAAAAATTAATTAGCCCAAAATTCTGATCTTCTCATAAATAAATGGATCCTAATCCCCATTAGATATAAATGAATCTCTAAAAGTGGATTGTTTAGTTTACCATCCCTCTACACATCCTCTACACAATGGTACTGCTAAACGACCAAACTCCACTAGTCAGAGCTCAACCAGCTTCAGGTAGATAGTTAACAGGGATAATTATATATTTTTTAATATTGGTCCCACCCCTCTCACGAAGCATCTTTCCTCCATAATTTTCGTGTTTTTTTATCGCTTTATTTGGGAAAAATTCAATCATGAGTAAAAGGTATTAAAATACAGAGGGGAAAGGTACAAAAGTTCAATTATTCATAAACCATGCTCTATGTAAAAAGGTGAATATTAGAGTATTAGATTTTATATTTTAAATCTTGGAGAAAAGAGGATACCTAGCTTTGGTTGCTAGTCTTGAAATGGATACTTTGTATCGAATAATAATAAGTTAAAACACTAAAATTCAAGAAGCATGGAACTGTTGAAATGTTCCAAGATATTTTATTTGAAAACATTGTTCCATTGTTCCAGGCTGAAATCTGATTTGTCTGGAAGATGTTCCTGGAAGTTTATCGCCATCTTCTTCATGCTCTTCAGCTTCCTTCTTATCTCAGCACTCATATACACCGCAGGTACTCATTCATTCATTCATTCATCCTTTCATCCTTTTATTCATTCATTCATTCATTCATCCTTCCTTTCATTCATTCATTCATTCATCCTTTCATTCATTCATCCATTCATTTATCCTTTTATTCATTCATTATTCATTCTTTAATTCATCCTTTCATTCAATTATCCTTTCATTCATTCATTCATTCATTCATTCATTCATTCATCAATACTCGCCTTCTGTTGTATTCATTTATTCATTTATCAATAAAGTGTACTAAAATCCTCATTAAAAATTCAATTGCAATTTAAAGTTCTCAATCATTGACATTTACGTATTCTCTTCTGTAAACTATTTCAACGAGATATAAAAGGTTTATTTTGAATTTCCCCCTCTTTTGCTCGTCATTTTCCCCAGGGTTGGGGGGGGGGGGGTTATTCCCTTGTGCAGATCTTTGAATAATTAAGGAATATTCTCCTGATAATGCACACATTATTAACTATTCAAACATTGGGATGGAAAGTAGGCGGAGCAAGACTAGGAACAAATAAAAGTGGGTTTAGTGTAAAGTATGGGTGGGGGTGGGGGTGAAGTAGGGAAAGGGAAGCATGTGCTTCAATAGCAACCTCGGAGAAGAGAAAAACTTAGTAATTAATTTATTAGATTTGCAAACAGGAAGAAAACATTTCTAATTTACGTTACTGTGAGATAAAAACAAGTGAAACTCCTTGATATTGTTTACTGCATCAACTTTAAAATTGAATTTTATCAAAGGGAATTTTTTTTAGAAAGTTTGGAATTTTTATTTTTGTCAACGAAAGAATACATTTTTTTGTCAAGTCATTTCAATTTTTATTGCCATGATATTTAAGTTATTTTTATTATTATTATTATTATAATTATAATTATTATTATATTATTATGTTTTTAGCTTCAAATCTGATAATGCGTGGAGTAGGAGGACTGGAAAATGCGCAAGCGTGCGCGGTTATAGAAGACAACGCGGCGAATGCGCTTGATGGCAGAGAGGATATTCTTAAATCAGGTATTTATGCAAACAACATTATCCATCAATTTTAGGTTTGATTCATTTTAAGAGGTTAGAAACTAGTTTTATTCTATAAACATTTCTGGATTAGGGTTTGATAAATGCAATAACCTATGATCTATCCGACATTTTGTTTAATTATATTCTTTTTGATTCTTTGATGAAACTAACTGTATCCCCTAAGAAGATAAACTATCCTGAATGCTTCCTCCCTCAATAAACAGAACTGCTGTAAACGATATATATCCTTTTATTTTATTTACCTTGTCACCCTAATCTTTCTCTTTCCTTTAATTGTTCATTAATACATTTAATCTCTAGTCACACATCTTTCTAGATCCAAGGCGTCTTAATTAACATGGGAATTCAGTAGACGATTGTTATGATGCACGCGACAACAATAGATGACTTCGAGTAAAAAGTTACATACGGAAATTTTTAGTCTTGGGATTTCCAAAATGATGTCTGCAATTTTTGTATTTTAAAAATTGACGGAGATATTAAGTACTATGAAGTTCAGCTATAGGATCCTATTTTGGAAAGCTCATAAGATGTGTTGTTTTAAAACACTCGTTGACATTTGTTAATTATTCGAAATCAATGACGATCTTTTTGTATTCTCATGTTTATTTTGAGACATCTTGAATCTATCTGTCTGTATAAGTTTCTATCAAACGAATTAGACTCAATTTCAATATTTATTCTAATCCAGGTTTATCTCTAACTTAAATCTTTGTTTAAATCCTATTCAAGTATTTTTTCTCTTTTAAACTTAAACTGTTAGAATCTGACAAAATCAGACAAAGACGACTTAAACAATATATTCGAGTCAATAAACTTTTACAATGGATTTGAATATTAAATATTTTTATTAAATTTTCATCTGAAAATTCTATTGCATAAACACCCCTAGTTGTCTACTGTTCAGTCTTCACAAATACAAAAGAGTTTTCCCCTCTTTTTAATTTGCACATTCTCCCTTTTCTCTTTTATTAAATCGAAAAAGTATTTTGCCCCCCCCCCCCTTATCCTTTGTTTAGTTGCGCCTATGCCCTCCCCACACATCCACTTATCTTATACTTGTTCCTACTCTATACTAAGCTCAATTCAAGTTTTTCATTGTTAAATAAAAAATCAATTTATTGAAGTTGTTTATCTTATCCTGGGTTTGGCTTACTTTCAATACAACTAAGGAATGTCCTCATAGAGAATTTTCTTCCAGAAAAACATAATTTTTTTGTATTTATATTTAAGAAACTGATAATTAGCCCTAGCTCTAATTTTCTTAATCCTTACTCCTTATATCTTTGCAACCTAATTCAGTACATCTTTTTCATTTCAAACTATTAATTCTTATTGTAGTAACAAACCAACAGGTTGCAAAGATATAGGGATTAGAATATTAGAGTTCTAAGCGAGTAATCCGTTCCTGAGTTCAAAAAAATATTACAAGACATCAGAAAGGCGGTTGTATTTTAATTTTTTATTATATCAAATTTCATTAATTTTCCAAATCTGCAAAAACATCTGGTCTCAGTTTTAATATTTCCAAAGGAGTGGAAAGCTGAATTTATGCCTGGTTATGTAGGGTGCTGTTCAGTAGATATAGGATAATATGTATAAATGGGTAGGAAGGGGGGGGGGAGGGATATTAATAATAACCAGTCAACATAGAATCCAACCATCAAACTACCCATCCATACCATACTCAGTAAACATAGACAAACAATTTCACCCTGAGCCGGAATCACATAGTGTGCGCGCGACGTGCACAGTCGAGTAAACATCAATTAATAAAATCATGTAAACCGTGGAATTGCTTTCGTAAATAAATAAACCTGACTGCACAATCTTTATACAACTGACAAACACATGAACGGACACACAAACATAAGAGTAGATTGATATTAATAAGAAGAATGTATAGTCGCGGATATATTGATAAATACAAATTATCATATCTCCAGGGGACAACACTTTGACATACACACATACACAGACATTCCACACCTAATGATCTTTTCCATATCATATTTGCAATAATAAAAGAAAATAACAGCTTATAAAGTAAAGATAGTTTATGATGGGTTAAATAGGAGAAGGAAATACCATCTTCAACTCGTTTACAGTGGTAAATTGAAAACAGTGAAATTTTCCGTTTTTAATGGTTGATTAAAATTTTTTTTGCGAGTTATCACAAAAAAATTAGCTTGATTATATATTAAAAAGATTAATGCTCACAGCTTCGTACCAAGTTTACCCTGATCTCCAGGCATTGCCGCGCATATAATACGTGCAATGACAAGCTATTACATTAGGTGAAGTATGTTGATCGTGTGAGACTCACATATCTTTCTTAATAAACTTGGAATCTAAGGAATGCGAACTAACATTGTATACAGACAAGATACTATCTTTACAGGACTTCATATATTTGTGTAGTAGCGAGGGATTGGTGGTAGATAGGGGGAGGAAGGGGGGGGGTATGATAATTTAAGAAAGGTGGAATATGGCCCTGAAAGTATACTGTTAAGAAGTAAATGCCCTGTAAGTATACTTTGATGAAAAATTTTTTTCACAAAAGTATACTAGGCTAAGTAAAATGCTCCTGAGAGTATACTTTGATAAAGAAACTGCTTCTGAAAGTATACTGTGAAGAAAATGCTCCTGAAAGTTTACTCTGATAAAGAATATGCTCCTGTAAGTATACTCTGATAAAGAAAATGCTCCTGAAAGTATACTGTGATAAAGAAAATGCACCTGAAAGTATACTCTGATAAAAAAATGCTGCTGAAAGTATGCACTGATAAAAAAATGCTCCTGAAAGTATACTCTGATAAAGAAAATGCTCCTGAAAGTATACTCTTATAAAGACAGTGCACCTGAAAGTATACTCTGATAAATAAAGTGCTTCTGAAAGTATACTCTGATAAAGAAAATGCTCCTGAAAGTATACTAGGCTAAGTAAAATGCTCCTGAAAGTATACTTTGATAAAGAAACTGCTTCTGAAAGTATACTCTGACAAAGAAACTGCTTCTGAAAGTATACTCTGATGAAGAAAATGCTCCAATAAGTATACTATGATAAAGGATATGCTCCTATAAGTATACTTTGATTAAGTATACTTTGATAAAGAAAATGCTCCTGAAAGTTTACTCTGATAAAAAAAGCTCCTGAAAGTATGCACTGATAAAAAATGCTCCTGAAAGTATACTCTAATAAAAAAAATGCACCTAAAAGTATACTCGGATAAAGAAAATGCACCTGAAAGTATACTCTGATAAAGGATATGCTCCTGAAAGTATACTCTGATAAAGAAAGTGCTCCTGAAAGTATACTCTGATAAAGAAAGTGCTCCTGAAAGTATACTCTGATAAAGAAAGTGCACCTGAAAGTATACTCGGATAAAGAAAGTGCACCTTAAAGTATACTCGGATAAAGAAATGCTTCTGAAAGTATACTCTGATAAAGAAAATGCACCTGAAAGTATACTCTGATAAAGAAAGTGCTCCTGAAAGTATATTGATGAAGAAATGAAAGAATGACTCCATAAAAGGCAATGACTAAAGACTGGGGCGTTTAGTCCGGTAGGAAACCAGGAGTATCCTGAGGGTTGATGATTTCTCAAGATAAACTCAGGGTGGAGGGATTATACACTGATAAGGTTCAGATGTCATAATATTGAGACGGCGT